TGTATGGTTCAATCATATTTGTTATTTTTCAATATATTGATAAACATATTCCGTCAGAATGTTACGAATTAGGAGAATTATCATCCATACAATTAGATTGTTAAAATTAATAGAATCTATTTTCCCTTAAAATATGCAAATTTCCTTTATTAAATATATATTAAATGACTAAAATACCCTTCTAGTTAGAATAGATGGTATTTTTTAATTATATTTAGTTCAATAATATGTCGTAATCACTTACTTAAAATAAGTAAAATTGATTTACCCACATTTATGCATACAATAACACAATAATTACTTTAAATACAATAACCTAAGCCTATATATATATATATATATATATATATATATATATATATATATATATATATATATATATATATATATATATATATATAATAATAATAATAATAATAATAATAATAATAATAATGAGTTATATGAGTTGTGCAAGAACATAGGCGTTGTGTGAGGCATAGTGTAACACCGTAAATTTTCATTTAAAATCACATTAATCTCATTACCACAATCACAAAAATCCTTAGTTTATATCAGGTTATCAAAACACATGTTCAAAAGTTATTATAACACAATCCAGGATCCTCCATAACAAATCTCCAACTCGTGTGTGTACAATCAAGTCGGTGCCTTCCCGTGATCATGAGAGGTACCTGGAACACATAACACATAACATGGTAAGAACGAAGCTTAGTGAGTTCTCCAAAATACCACACATATCTCATTAGCCTCTCATGTTTATGCTCAAATAAGACCCTCTGTTCAATGTGTCTCTGTGGGATCCTCCAGTCCCATAACTCGGGTGGACCCTCCGGTCCTAACTCAGTAAGCTCAGAATAATACACAATATAAATCACAAAGACATAATGTAGGATATCACAATACTCAATATAAACACATACGACCCTCCTGTCACACAAAGATTACCACTCTAGGTAAGTATAGTGAGAAGACTCACCTCGTAAGCAAGCAAGTAAATAAACTCATATACGAATCTCGAACTAGCCTCCGCCTAACACATAAGATAATTATCTCTAATTAACATTTAAATCACGACTCTAAATAAACTAAGTTATTCTCTCTCTCAAACTCTTGGAATGGGTAAAAGACCATTTTATCCCTCCATGGTCCCATAATCCATGCCTTGACCAAACCCTAAAGTCAACAAAAGTCAACACTCGAGTCAAGTGTCCATGTTGACCTGAATCGCTGAGTGCATCTATGTGACTCGCCGAGTCCCCATTTTTCCTTCAAAACATCGTGAAAACCCAACTTAACTCGTCGAGTTGTCTCATTAACTCGCCGAGTTACCAATGTCCGGACTCATCGGGGAAAACCCTATCCGACTCGTCGAGTCAGCTCATTGACTCGGCGAGTCCATTCAGTTTGTATTCTCATTCAAATGTTTTAAGGCAGATCTACCACTCCAAACTCTAGATCTAGTCTCCCAAGGCTCGAATGTGACTTAAACCTTCGATCTTTACGTTCATGCATGACATATTTGCTCCATAATGCCTATACAAGCTCCAGCAAGGGTTTGGTACTCATAGGCTTGCCTCTAGCTCCATAAAGCTTGGGTATTTGGGCTCCCAAGACCTCCTACAATCCAGATCTGAGGTTTCAACCTTATGATCTGCTCAAGGGACTCAATAACACAAGAAGGATGGGGAAAAGCCCTAGAACTCCCCAAACTAAGATCTCACAAGAAAAATTATCAAGATAGCATCTTTTTACCTCAAACAGAAGTTATCCACTGAGAACCTCTAGATCCAACCGTCCCTCTTTGCTCCAAGCCTTGATGCTTTCCTCTTATTCTCTCAAAGTGCACCAAAATGCTCAAGATAGCCTCTCTTTCTCACATAACAAGCTAAAAATCTATAAGGGTTCTTCACAGAGCTCAAGGGTGATGAGGGAGGCGGAAATGAGGGCTTAATGCCCTTTAAATAAGACATAAACCCGGGGATTTAGGGTTTCCTACCACAACGCCAACTCGGCGAGTCGACTCTCTGACTCGTTGAGTTGGTCATTAAACCCATGTGACCAATCCGACTCTACTCGACAAGTCAGGCACACAACTCGTCGAGTCACTCATTAAATCCCAAAAATAAATATATAAATATAATACCTGAGAGTTGGGATGTTACACATAGTACCATTGCACAGTAGCATGTCAATGGAGTACCTTTTTTTTTCTTTGTGAATCATAATCTTCATGACAGAAAATTGAAACAAATGTAACTCACCATAAGATAAACACACCCTTTATCAATCACATGAAACTTACATTACTTGATGTTTATCATTCTTATAAAAAAGGCAATACAAAAATTAAAAAGAAACAAAAGTGCATTCTGAGATCGAACTGGTATATTTCACGTTCGTGATTGATAACGAAAACCGTTATAATGTTATCAGGCGCCACAATTTTAGCAATTTGTAGGACTCCTTGTACATTTTGATGTAGTTAAATTTCACTTTCATTAGGAAATATAGAAAATCAAAATGAATTTTAGGATTTCAAAAATCAAAGGCGTTGGCATCTAGGTCCAAATAGATGAGTATAGCTTACCTCAAGAGATGACAAATTGTTAAAGGTGAGGTCCAATTTCTCTAATTTCTTGAATTAAGTCAAGCACGAAACCTAAGAAGAAATTTCAGGAACGGAAACCGTAAACATAAGCAAAGCAATGAATGGAAAATCAACCAAAATGTCGTATCGATTGAAGTATGTACATCCGATAGAGCTATGTAGGTGAAGGTAAGAGATGTAACGGTGACTTCGTAGTGGTTATCATGTTCCGATGAAAGCTGATGCAGTGAAGATCTTAAGCGGTGGTCGTGGTGGCGATGATGAAGTAAGCTTCCATTTTCATAAAGGAGGGCATCATCCAACTCGTTGTTTAGTGATATTGGTTTATTTTATATCATTTGAGAACGTTCGGGTCTATATATTAACCAACAATCATCTACCAAGGGTATGACTAACCCTAGCCAATTTACATTGGACTGAAACCCAATTACGTTTTGAAGGGAGAAAAAAAACTAAAATTGATGAAAAGAAACGTACCACTAGGTGGGATAACAATCGACACACCCTTGCATTTTAGGCGAGGCTTGAAGCAATCAACAGACGTTTATCAATTTAGAACCATATGGGAAGAAATTATACGAGTTCTTGATTTAGGGATCTTAGAAGTTGACGGAGCGGAAAACAGAATCGGAGAAGCGACGCTGGTAATCGGCTTCGATGGACAAAAAGGTTGGAATAAGATTTTTTGGAGTCGGTGCAAAAAATACCTGGAGTAATGGTATTGGACATTAGAGGCGGTGTATCATGAGCAAATGACACGTTACCGGATCCACCATCAACAATGGAGATTAGTCGGCGAAAAGATACTTAGCTGATGAACAATGAAGCTCCACCCAGTAAAAAAATACAGCCGGTAAAAAATTGACCAAGCCGATAAATAGTAAAAAGCTAAAACGAGAATTTTACCTTGGCTAAAAAAACATTGTAGCTAAGCCCCTCATGATTTCATTGTATGTATAATATATTAATGAAACACATTTCTTCAAAAATACCTATATGAGACAAATTCCATAGTTATAAATAAACTCTATTTTAAAATAAATATAAATAAAAATGTATTTTCTGATCGTGAAAATGGAGATGTCACAATGAGTATCACATCATTAGTTTAAGCGATCTAAGAATATTTGAGGGTTATAGACTTAAACTTAGAATGATAAGCAATGATCGTGATGTTTGTGTTCATTTTATTTTAGGTAGTATACATGAATTGACAATAGCAATAACTCACTTTAAGATAAGATGTCTAATTTGTTGTTATATGCTAAATGATTTATATTATAGCATGCCTTAGGTTATCAAATTGCTATTACTTGACTAAATGAAACGTCTATTGTCGGCCATAGCTTGGATAAATAAATTTTATGTATCTAGACTTCTAAATGTTTAATTAGTATATTAGAACTGGTATATAACTTTTCGGAGTGATAAGAACGATTATGCGTCTAGACATAACTAAAACCTTCTCTAAAATAATATACACACAATTCTAGTACTGTGAACGATTATTCTGGTATACAGAACATCATGGTGAAAACTCATAGTAGATTGGGAAACAGTAACAGGAATCAGCAGCCTGAGCCTCGTGTAGTCAAGCATGCACCTGAACTCGTGCTAGCAATTGAACTAGTTTCTTTACTAAACAACAAAGTAAATCTTACAATAGGAAATTATAAAGAAATTTGTATATATTTTTACCAATTTGTATCAATCAAACTCGTAGTCATACAAGTTTTGGTATGAAACCAACTATAGCTGTTATTGTACATGACATCCAAGCTATCAATATCAATGCTTTTTTTTTGTACATATTTTATACAATCTTCCATTTGTCGGTTTTTCAGAGATACTTTTAATATAAACTTTATACAATCATTTTCAATGAGTCGCCGTAAGCCTGATTTGATCCAAGTTGTAGAAATAGTTAGGTTTTGTGACTAGATTGATTGTTCACATATCTTGAACCTCATATGGTTATGGTTTGAAATACGGGTATCAATGTATTATGTTTATAATACGATTTATAAGTGGATTTTATAAGATTTCATAAGTCGGTTTCGATTCATAAAGTTGGAACAAACACACACTGAGATTTTCGATCAGAAAAGACAAACAAAACCAAAGTCCCAACTCAACTCATACAAAACACAGAAAAACAAACAAACAAGAGAAGCCAACGAAGCTGAGTTCACCTCACAGGTCAACTGAGTCAATACCCGAACCACAAAAGTTCATCGCGGTTCGTTCTTGACTCAAACCCTAGTTTGTGAGATCAAACCCAACCCCACTCTCCTCTTTCCTAAAAAAAAATTAATCCACACATGCCATCATCTTGTTCAATTAAAAACATAAGAAGTAATTCTCTTTATAAAGAGAAAAATCAATCTATCTAGCTACTAATCTGCCTTCCTTGTTGGTTAGAGTTCACCACCTCTTTAATCCCTTGAACAGTACGCGAAATAAGATTAATAACTGTGTTGATCGACTCCATTGTAAGCTTAGACGATGGCAAATCATTGACCAAAATCTGGAACCCAACAGTCAACAACGAACCACCTTCTGACCCGGGTTTGGTCACCGGTGCAACCGACTCACCCACACAGTCCGGCATAATCGCAAACCCAGATGGCAATAAAGCCACACATGATGAGTCACCACCACGCATCACCACATCAATTGAGTTTATGTCCACAGCTGCATACACTATAAGTGATCCACTCACATCTGTACTACTTTCTTGAAGCACCAAAACCATGTTCTGATTCGCATTACCACCCGTAGTCTACAAATACAAAGAAACAATTACATATAGTTGTCGATATTAAGTGCTTAACCTATTATTTTAGGTAGTATACATGAATTGACAATAGCAATAACTCACTTTAAGATAAGATGTCTAATTTGTTGTTATATGCTAAATTATTTATATTATAGCATGCCTTAGGTTATCAAATTGCTATTACTTGACTAAATGAAACGTCTATTGTCGGCCATAGCTTGGATAAATAAATTTTATGTATCTAGACTTCTAAATGTTTAATTAGTATATTAGAACTGGTATATAACTTTTCGGAGTGATAAGAACGATTATGCGTCTAGACATAACTAAAACCTTCTCTAAAATAATATACACACAATTCTAGTACTGTGAACGATTATTCTGGTATACAGAACATCATGGTGAAAACTCATAGTAGATTGGGAAACAGTAACAGGAATCAGCAGCCTGAGCCTCGTGTAGTCAAGCATGCACCTGAACTCGTGCTAGCAATTGAACTAGTTTCTTTACTAAACAACAAAGTAAATCTTACAATAGGAAATTATAAAGAAATTTGTATATATTTTTACCAATTTGTATCAATCAAACTCGTAGTCGTACAAGTTTTGGTATGAAACCAACTATAGCTGTTATTGTACATGACATCCAAGCTATCAATATCAACGCTTTTTTTTGTACATATTTTATACAATCTTCCATTTGTCGGTTTTTCAGAGATACTTTTAATATAAACTTTATACAATCATTTTCAATGAGTCGCCGTAAGCCTGATTTGATCCAAGTTGTAGAAATAGTTAGGTTTTGTGACTAGATTGATTGTTCACGTATCTTGAACCTCATATGGTTATGGTTTGAAATACGTGTATCAATGTATTATGTTTATAATACGATTTATAAGTGGATTTTATAAGATTTCATAACTCGGTTTCGATTCATAAAGTTGGAACAAACACACACTGAGATTTTCGATCAGAAAAGACAAACAAAACCAAAGTCCCAACTCAACTCATACAAAACACAGAAAAACAAACAAACAAGAGAAGCCAACGAAGCTGAGTTCACCTCACAGGTCAACTGAGTCAATACCCGAACCACAAAAGTTCATCGCGGTTCGTTCTTGACTCAAACCCTAGTTTGTGAGATCAAACCCAACCCCACTCTCCTCTTTCCTAAAAAAAAATTAATCCACACATGCCATCATCTTGTTCAATTAAAAACATAAGAAGTAATTCTCTTTATAAAGAGAAAAATCAATCTATCTAGCTACTAATCTGCCTTCCTTGTTGGTTAGAGTTCACCACCTCTTTAATCCCTTGAACAGTACGCGAAATAAGATTAATAACTGTGTTGATCGACTCCATTGTAAGCTTAGACGATGGCAAATCATTGACCAAAATCTGGAACCCAACAGTCAACAACGAACCACCTTCTGACCCGGGTTTGGTCACCGGTGCACCCGACTCACCCACACAGTCCGGCATAATCGCAAACCCAGATGGCAATAAAGCCACACATGATGAGTCACCACCACGCATCACCACATCAATTGAGTTTATGTCCACAGCTGCATACACTATAAGTGATCCACTCACATCTGTACTACTTTCTTGAAGCACCAAAACCGTGTTCTGATTCGCATTACCACCTGTAGTCTACAAATACAAAGAAACAATTACATATAGTTGTCGATATTAAGTGCTTAACCTATTAAGTCCATTAAGTCAAAAAGAAACAGACTCACATTGGCACGTAGAAGAGAGATGGTATTCAAGCTGCCATGGTCTTGACTTTTTGAGAAACGAATCATGTTCTGCATAGCGGTCCCGTGGGACAAAACGTCCCATTGGGACCGGAGTTCTTCATTCAACATCAGCACGAACAGACGCTGATGTGGCATGGGCATCCACACTGACATGGTGGCGCTCAACACTGCACCTGAAGGGTCCCCATGATTGTTTAAACTTTTACGGATCATAATTTTAGCTGCTTCGGCTCCATTACCAATCACCTCCCATTTATGACCACCGGTAGCACAAACTCCGGCACAAAAGTTAGACGTCATGCGCTGTGCAAGAGCCGTTAAACTCCTTCTACCACCGGGAGGTAACACTGTTATAATATTGGCACAAAAAAAAAAAGATATTAATTAGAGTAGTGTATATAAATAATGAGAAAATAAGAAAAGTGGTGGGAAATTGGAAAGTGGAAATCCACCTGGACTATGATCATCGGTGGCAGAATCAGGTGACATGATTGTTGCCATGCACTCGAAATGTCTTTGTAGTGTTGAAATCCATTTCTGAGCACCAAAACCTAACCCTGATCTAATTAACGGCCGATACTGATGGTGTACGACACCCTCGTCGTATTCTGTATGCTCGATCCACATTACCTGTAAAAAAAAAAAAAGTCATGTATATACGGTTTTTACTTTTTATAATCATATTTATAACTAAAAACTAAATAGTAATATAATAAACTGATAGTATTAGTAACAGACCACATCCAGGCCATACTTAACCTCGTGGTTGATAAAAAAACACGATAGATGGAGTGGTAAGTACGGTGGGAGTGATAGATTTTGTATATAATATAAATGTAACACCAAGAAATGAACATTTCGAGGCTTATTTTTTTTTTTTTCTTCCTCTCTATCTGTAGATATAAAAAATTTATTAATATTTATCGGGATTCAACACGTAAAAGAATCAATTTGATGCCTCAATGTACGATTTAGTTGAAAAAACGTATTCTGATCTTACACCATGCATGTGACGATCATACTTCAATCTTTGAAAAATGTGACAGCATAAAACAATACAAAAGAAAGAAAAATGTGACAGCATATAAATGATGTAATAATATTTAATGCAAACAGGAATTCGTCTCTAATCAAGTACATTCTTTTTAACACCGAAATAATAATATTAAAACTTTAGAACATAAAAGTTAAATTCAATATATATAAAAAATAATATGTATTTAATTTAAAAAAGAACAACACAATAATATTATGAAATATAAATAATAAACAAAAACTTTAAAAAATTTAAATTGAAGAACTAATTTGTACAAGGAAAATTTAACACCAAAACTTGTTGTTTAATAAATAGTATCTAACACCATATTTGTGCTCTACTATTTCATCAACACCATTTCTGGTGCAACAAATGGTATCAACACCATTATTGTTGTTACAGTTATCATTACTAGTTACTAATTATTAGAGATGTCAAATAACACTAAATGATATTTTGTTGTTAACTACCGACACTTATGTATGCTGATATTGATACTAATTCTGATACTGATACTGATACTGATATTGGTAGTTGTTACCTTTGAATAACCATTGGGCATATCATGCACGATACAGCCAGACGGAAGTCTCCTAGATATAAATCCTTCTCTTCCACCATCAACAGACAAATCAACCACCGCCCATACACCTTCCGCTTGTTGTCTGCAAAACCGAATGAATCTCACTTGGCGAACAGGTACTAAAGGCGAAACCAATTGAACCTCAGCTTGCATCTGCAAGAAATAAAAAATAAAAATCTTTTCTTTAAGTTTTTTCAATTTCAAAAAACCTTAAATTTGGGAAAAAATAAATAAATAAGAAGACGCTTACAAGTTGGACAACCCCATTTCTCGAATCGCCGGATCCACCCGAAATCACATCGACAGTGCTACTACTTCCGATCAAACCAAGAAACATCTCTCTCCACCGATTCTGCATAATAAAAACAATATAATCAATTTTTTATAATAATAATAAAATCATTATAATCATGAAAAATTATATATAGCTTACAGCATCGAGTAAAGCTTCCACAAGTGCCAAACTATTGATCATAACAACACCACTAGCCCTGGAAGCCTCGGTGACAAATCCATGAGGTTTCATACCAAGACAAAGAGGAAATGTTCTCATATACTCATCTAAATCAAGAACCTCACCACCACCACCTTCCATGTTCCCAAGCCAGAGTGGGCTATTCACCTGCCCAAGCTTCATCAATTCATCCATGGCATTCAACGCAAGCTCCAAAAACACATTCTTATCATACGACATATCAATACCACCACCACCTGCCGCCATCCCCAATCCGGGTCTTGAAGGTGACATCAATGGCAAAGCATTTGAGATTCCGTTGTTGTAATCCAACCCCATCGGTAAACCTACATCCATCGGGTTCAAGTTTAACCCGTACCCGTTTCTTCCGACAGCTAATTCCAAGTTGGAATTAGCCATTCCGGACGGCATGTTACCTCCGCTAAATGACGATAATGGCCTTCCCAAGAACTTATTGGCTAGAATCGATATTCGACTAAGTTCATCTCGTAACCGGGCGTTCTCGATTCTGAGATGGTGTTCATCGATTGATATGTCACCCAGAATTGCTTGCCCTCCACAATTGTTGCAGACTGGAGATCGAATTGCTTCTTTCATGGCGATGTTTTCGATCCGGAGTTTATCGTTTTCTTGTTTTAAGATAGCATTTTCATGGCGCTCCAGTTGTGTCTGCAACAATGTCGTTTAATCAAACAATGTTAAAGATCAGTTACAATTTTAGTATTGTAAGGTGGTAATCAATCAATCAATCAATCACCTTCATTTGAGTTCGTCGATTCTGAAACCAGAATTTGACTTGCTTGTTTTCCAAATTCAGCTTCTTTCCGAGCGCTAATCGTTCTTTCTCATCTGGGTGAGGATTATCTTTGAAAGAACTGTTGCAAAAAACTAAATAATGAACCAAAATCGAAAAAAAAAAATGAATAAAATTAAATTAATAGATAAAAACGAAATTACGTACGCTTCGAGCTCTTGAATTTGGTATGGAGTATGGCGATGATATTTCTGTCTCCGGCGAGAACTGGAAGAAGGTCCAGGAGGGACATCTTGTTCGTCGCCGGATGCACCTTCGACATTGTCACTTCCGCCGGACCTGCTTTCAGATCCATCTCCTCTAACC